AGAACTTGTGAATGCCCCATCACTGGAAGTCTTTAAGAAGATGTTGGATAGCCATTTGTCTGAAACGGTATAAGGTTTCCTCCCTAAGCAGGGGATTAGACTAGAAGACCTCCAAGGTCACTTCCAACTCTGATACTCTTCTATCCTATCCTATCCTATCCCACCCTATCCTATCCTTAAATTAATCTATCACTTTGACTCCAATCAGAACATCAATGTTGTGCAAAAACCAGACATTAGTTTTAGGATTTGGTATTGCACAGACACAGAGATATACCAGAGATAAAAATTAGCCACACAGATCAACGGTGATGTGTTCTTTCTCTGCAAATTTCAGGTTTGGAGTTCAATGGAATTAAAAATGACCAGCTCTTTTCCACAGCTGTGGGAAACTCCTTCAAGTGTCTCAGTAAGCAAACGGTGGACTTGGCCAGCAACTTTCAACTGCAGGCTGCCAATTCCCAGCTTCAGGCCTTTGATATCGTAAATAACCAATTTGGAAAAGGTTAGTATATGCATCCTTGGTGTTCCTATGATTAAGAGTTTTCTGCTGAGGGCACAAAGGGCATTTTCACACCATGAGCTCTGGGTCAATGAAAATTTCACTGATTCTCTCTCAGCCGTGCTGCATTTAATCCAAGCCAACTTTGCATGCATATAAATATGTGCGTAGCACGTATTTATTTAATACATTTCCCAGTAGCCCCCAAAAGGCTTTTATAATTTTCACATGTACAGATGTACCAGGAGAACAACGTACAACCAGTTTCAATCTTATTGGGGTTGTCAAGACATTCATAGCCTTATTATTTATTTATTATTTTGATCATGCCTTTATCTCTATATTCAATAAAAGCAAAATACCACTCATGCATAATCACGAAATCTCCAGAGCCGTAAAGCCTACAAACTTGAAATTTGGCACGTATGTTCCCCTTGGCTTCTACGTGCTCACTAGGAAAGGATATTTTGAAATGACCATCAGATCATTACTATTTCTTTTAGTATTATTAACACACTCTGATGCAAAGAAGTTAGACATTCTACTCCCCCTCCCCACCTGAAAAGAACTCTGTTCCAACTGCCACTTGGGTATGGACGTGGTCAGCACGTGACTCATCCCACCTGCAGGTTCTGATGCTAAGGAGTTAGACTGAGGGAGAGAAGGGGATAAAAAAGGAAAGGCCTCTGTGGGGCAAGCCTGAAGGAGAGAAGGGGATAGGAGAGGATCAATGGGTCCAGGCTGAGGGAGAGAAGGGGGATAGACTTCTGTGGGGCAAGCCTGAGGGAAAGAAGGGGAGAGTAGAGGCTGATTGTAACTACTAATTAATTTTCAAGCTGTAAGTGTCAAGTTATCAAGCCCAATCACATAGTTTCTTAGCGAAGCATGGGTATCCAGCTAGTTGTTATATAAACAGTTATATAAATAACTGATAAGCAAACATATCCAAGGCATCTTCCTCCCCCTATTTTCATCACAACAACAACTCTTGTCAGATGAGTTGAGCTGAGAGATAGTGACTGCCTCAGTCACACAGCCGGCTTTCATCCCTAAAGCAGGACTTGAACTCATGGTTGACTCAACTGGCTTTCTAGTCTGGTGCCTCAACCACTAAGCCAAACTGCCTAAGGATTTGCCATAGTTCAAATGATTTTAACTGGTACAAAGATAACTTTCACGTATGGTGCTCACAAGATCCGGGATAATTCTCCATAGCTTTATTTGACTAAGATGAAAATCACCGTGGAAGACGAAAATCACTCTGGAATCATATGATGCTCTTTTATTGAAGTCTAATATGTTCTTTTTTTTCTGACTTGCAGAAGAGGAATGCACGTTGGATAGAAACAAGAAGTGGATCCCAGCCGCAATCGGCTTCAGTCTGTCGGGATTAGTTATCATCATCCTGTTCTCCTGTGTGCTTTATAGAAGGAAACCTGAGTCTGGATACAGCCGTATCTGAACCCTGAAATGAATTTATGAATGGGTGTAGAAGCAACAAATGGTAACATCAGGAAGAATGGGAGATTCTGCTTGCTTTGCTGTGGCAATCAGATGTAAAAACAGCACTCGAGCATCTTTAAGTGATCTTTAAATTTCTGACACTTTTAACACTTAATTGGAAATTAATCAGCTCAATGCAGGTGCATACACGTCTTATTATCTGTATACAACAGTAGCGATGCATTTATTTGCTTGGGGGTTATTGGGGTTTTCTTAAATTAGCCAGCATGTATTTGCAAAGGTAATCCATGAATTCAAGTAACATTAATAGTTATAATGTGTGTCTCTTTATCAGGCAGACCTGTCTGCAGCAGACACATTGTAAAGGGTGTTTAGGCAAAAACTTCAACACACATTATGCTCTGAGCTTTAGTAACGGTATTATAACGCACTGAGGGCAGGAAGAGAAGCAATGGGTGGAAACTAATCAAGGAGAGAAGCAACCTAGAACTAAAGAGGAATTTCCTTACAAGAACAATGAATCAACAGGCCACCTTGCCTCTCAAGGCTGTGGGTGCTCCAAATTGGAAGTTTTAAAGAAGAGATTGGAGAGCCATTTATCTGGGATGGTATAAAGCAACCTGAGGCTCTGGAGCCTCAAGTGGCTCTTTCATCCTTTTGCTGCAGCTCCCTATTGCCGGTTGACTCCACAATTGATAAGAGCTTTCGGTTAGGACAGGTAGAGGAAAAAGGATGCCGCGCTAGGAGGAGACTCTATGGTGAGTTAACCGGACTTCCGGTTGGCTCCAGAATTGAAAACGGGGGGCTTCCAGGTAGGACCTTTGGGGATCTTTGAGTGTTTAAGGTTGCCAACCTTAAACAGAGGTGGGTTCTAACTTCCTACAGTACAACCCCAGGAAAATGAAATACTGAAATAAACCATGTGTCAGTTAACCACAGATTGGTTCAAGACCAAGCATTGGACTAGAAGACCTCCAAGGTCTCTTCCAGTCCTATCATTCTATGGTTCTGTGACTGAAATAAATTACATTACTCCTTAGTTAGGGAATAGGATGTCTGCCCTTCTCTATTTTATGAATGTAGGATATTTTCAAAATCAACTCCACGCTGACTTATCACTCACAGATCATCATTTCCCATCTGCTGCCAACTTCAAGGTTACAATAATGGGTGGACACACTCTTTGTACTAAGCGATGACTTCATCATGGTTTATTGAGTAGCATTAACTGGCTTAGCAATAAATAAATGGTTTATAAAACACCCAGGCTGGTGTTGTTTTTTTTTTAACACGTTGTGCTGTGGTAAAACCAAACTATATTATGGCATATCATAGCGTGTTAATTCAACCAACTCTGCAGACTTTCACACATAGAGATTGTTGCTTCACAACATGCTTGGCCAGAATGGTTAAATCTGTAACTCACTGAATTGTACTGTTGGAAGAAAGGTCCATCTGGGTTCAGTTCCAAGTGGGGGAAAAGACACTGGATTCATGGTGGCTGCTTGGAAAGAAGGTTTTAATGGTGGGCAGGACCACATGCTTCAAGATCTTGGGTGAAGAAAAAACGGGCAGAGATGCTGAGAGTGACTAAGTTTTATACCCTCTCTGGGCTTTTGAATTTGAACTTGTATTCTGATTGGTTGTCAGACTCCCATGGGGCCATGCAGGGGCAACTCTGTAGGCTGTCCTGAGTCCCAAGCTTGGTTGACTCATGCTGGGTGATGAAGTAATGAAAGGGCTTTGAGATTCCTATTATGGCTCTGCCTGAAGAAGGTAGATCTTTGTTATGTAGAATAGNTAGATCTTTGTTATGTAGAATAGACTGGCGCAGGCCTTAATGGCCCATTGAGAAAAGTGGCGGGGATGGGACTGAGTGTCTGCCTTCCTTTTAGGGGAAATATTCCTCCCTTTTAACATTTCCTAAAATATCTCATTTTCCTAGGAGAGAGGTGGGTTCTAACTTCCTACAGTACAACCCCAGGAAAATGAAATGCTGAAATAATAAACCATGTTTCAGTTAACAACAGATTGGTTCAAAAATGCATTATCTGTCTCATGTAATTCAATCTACCTTGTCTAGTTTTCAAACTGCTGAAAGGCAGAATGGAAAGGGCCAAGCAAATTCTGCCAAATTAGTTGACTTGAGGTTGCACAGCCTTGTATTCTCTGGTATTTAATCCATTTTCCCGTAGTTATTCGATAAAAAGCATATAACCTTCCTGGACCTAGAGATCACGCTTTCCTTTAATTTTCTGAGCAGAGAATAGAAGTGATCTGCTACTCCCTTCTCCTTGAGGGATATTTTAAACTCCCGAGGCTCAAAAAAACACTGTTAAAAAAAAGGAACTATTTTTCAAGTCAACGTTTTCTGCAGAAAATATTCCTCTTTAGGCAAATTTATCTTTCCAAAATTGTGAGATGTTATCAGGTGATTTATCTGAATTGTGGAGAAACTAGAAGTACATTGCAATTACAAAGGTTTTTTTTTGGGGGGGGGGGTAACTAAGAACACTGCCACTGCCTTGTCAATTTCCCTGCTTTTGCATTTTTTATTTTTACCTTTTTTTACTTGGGAGTTTTAACCTGATTTTAATTTATGCTTTTATTCATTTTTTTATATGGTTTTCTAAGGATGTTCTAAAACCGTCCCGACCCATTTAGGTGAGATGGTTGCAGGGGTGGGTTCCTGCCAGTTCTAACCTCTTCTATAGAAGAGGTTCCACAAATCTATCATGCTGTTTAGAACCGGTCCCAGCTCCCTCCCCCCGCCACTGCCCATCCACACCACACTTGCCCCGCCCACCACTCACTGATTGGTTGGCTCACCAATTGCCCCACCCACCTCTAAGAGTCCCATCTAAACCTTAAAGTCTTAAAGCTGTCAAATTTGAACATCCCTGGGGTNTTAGACATTCTACTCCCCCTCCCCACCTGAAAAGAACTCTTAGTTAACAACTGCAGTGATTCACTTAACAACAGTGGCAAGAAAGGTCGTGAAATAGGTCAAAGTTCACTTAACATCTCACTTAACAACAGAAATTTTGGGCTCAAACTATGGTCGTACGTTGAAGACTACCTGTATATTGGAGAATTGAGGTCTTTGGAATCCTCTTCAAATAAATGACTGAATGAGCAGGCCAGAATCCATGGTTAACAAAATCATGATTAATTCAATTGATACATCTCTATATATCTAAATACGGTAATTATCTTTGTTTTGCTGAAGTTAGGTCAAGTTTCCTAAAGACACAAAACGGTGTATCCAGCAGGCAGAAAATGCAACACACAAACACAATGAACCAGCTTAACTAACACAAGGGTTATATATTCATATTGGCTTTGTACTTCTTACTTTAGTGTTGCGAAATGCTTGGCTTTGGTTTTATTTGTATAAGATTCTCCCTCAAATGTTCTTTCATGAGAAGTACTCAGATCCTGGTTATCGACACTCAAGTATCACCTTACTTTTGCCAACAACCCTAGTGAAGGAACTAAAATAAATGCAGACGTGTTTAACTAAAAATAAGTCCAAACCACAGACAATTCGGGCTTCTCAAACAGAAAATTGATCATAGTTAACTTCCTTATGCCTTGCTTCGAACATTGTGAATTTGGTTACAAGTTTAGGCACAGTATAAAAACAAACTAAGACTAAGCCACAAAGCTTCCGCTTCTTGGAATTAACAAGCCAACATTAAACAGGTTTCTAAGCTGTGGTTTTCTTCCCTTAACCAAGCCATGCTGTTTATCCATGGAATCAGTTCTGCATGTCTCATAAACCTCGGAAGAATATGATGTGGAAAACAGAATGCATACAAAGGGACACACAATATATCTTTTTAAGTAGCTTATGAACTTCTGGGATAGAAAAATGTGTTGTATCATTGGGCAATGGTGAGGCAAAATGTGTAAATAAACACCAGATAAAATAATGCAATTGGACCATAAGAAAGGCTGAGCGCCAAAGAATGGAGGCCTTTGAACTCTGGTGCTGGAGAAGACTCCTGCGAGTCCCTTGGACTGCAAGGCGATCAAATCGGTCAGTCCTAGAGGAGGTCAACCCTGACTGCTCTTTAGATGACTGCTCTTTAGATGGCCAGATCCTGAAGAGCAAACTCAAACTTTGGCCACCTAATGAGAAGGAAGGACTTACTGGAGAAGAGCCTAATGCTGGAGAAGACAGAGGGCAAAAGAAGAAGGGG